CATCCTCCTTGCACATATCCTCCTTGCACGCATCCTCCTTGCATGCATCATCCTTGCTCACATCCTCCTTGCACACATCCTCCTTGCACATATCCTCCTTGCACGCATCCTCCTTGCACGCATCCTCCTTGCACACATCCTCCTTGCACGCATCCTCCTTGCATGCATCCTCCTTGCATGCATCTTCCTTGCATCCTCCTTGCATGCATCCTCCTTGCATGACTCTTCCTTGCATCCTCCTTGCATACATCCTCCTTGCATGTCTCTTCCTTGCATCCTCCTTGCGCACATCCTCCTTGCACATATCCTCCTTGCACGCATCCTCCTTGCGCACATCCTCCTTGCATGACTCTTCCTTGTATTCTCCTTGCACATATCCTCCTTGCACGCATCCTCCTTGCACACATCCTCCTTGCATGCATATTCCTTGCATCCTCCTTGCGCGCATCCTCCCTTGTGTGCATCCTCTTATGTGCGTTCTCCTTTAAGTTTGTCCTCCCTTGCACGCATCCTCCTTGCACACATCCTTCTTGCACGCATCCTCCTTGCATGACTCTTTTTTGCATCCTTCTTGCGCACATCCTCCTTGCATGCATCCTCCTTGCATGCATCTTCTTTGCATCCTCCTGGCACACATCTTCCTTGCATGCAACTTCCCTGCATCCTCCCTGCACGCATCCTCCTTGCATGCATCTTCCTTGCATCCTCCTTGCGCACATCCTCCTTGCATGCATCCTCCTTGCACACATCCTCCTTGCACGCATCCTCCTTGCATGCATCATCCTTGCTCACATCCTCCTTGCACACATCCTCCTTGCACATATCCTCCTTGCACACATCCTCCTTGCATGACTCTTCCTTGCATTCTCCTTGCACGCATCCTCCTTGCACGCATCCTCCTTGCATGCATCCTCCTTGCATGACTCTTCCTTGCATCCTCCTTGCATACATCCTCCTTGCATGTCTCTTCCTTGCATCCTCCTTGCGCACATCCTCCTTGCACATGCCCAGCGAGGGCCTCCTGGAGATCCCCGAGGAGCAGGAGGGCAGCCTGGACCCCGACGCCCCGCGGAGCCTCCCGGCCAACCCGACCTCGTACCGCTACGGGCAGCACGGCGTGCGCGTGGAGGAGGACGTCAGCTTCAACACGGATGGTGAGCAGAGCTGGAGTCCGGCTCCTCGGAGGCTCCTCTCCCCGCTGTGTCCTCGCCACGGGCTGGGCTGCTGCATGGCCCGGAGCAAAGCCCTGGGAAGAGGAGCTGGGAGCGTTCTGGCAAGTGTGAAAGCCAAGGAAAGCCCTGAGTCTGGGCTCCTCTCCAAAAGCACATGCAACTCAGAACCTTGCCCTTGGCGTGCCCGCTTCCAGTGTGATGCTCTGTGCCCCTTGCACATGTACTCCTTGTACTCATCCTTCTTGAACGCATCCCTCCTTGCATGCATCCTCCTTGCACACATCCTCCCTTGTGTGCATCCTCTTATGTGCGTTCTCCTTTAAGTTTGTCCTCCCTTGCACGCATCCTCCTTGCACACATCTTCCTTGCACGCATCCTCCTTGCATGTGTCCTCCTTGCATGACTCCTCTTCCTTGCATCCTCCTTGCGCACATCCTCCTTGCACGCATCCTCCTTGCATGCACCTTCCTTGCATCCTCCTTGAGCGCATCCTCCCTTGTGTGCATCCCCTTATGTGCGTTCTCCTTTAAGTTTGTCCTCCCTTGCACGCATCCTCCTTGCATGACTCTTCCTTGCATCATCCTTGCTCACATCCTCCTTGCATACATCCTCCTTGCATGCATCCTCCTTGCATGACACTTCCTTGCATCCTCCTTGCACGTATCTTCCTTGATCCTCCGTGCACACATCCTCCTTGCACGCATCCTCCTTGCATGCACCTTCCTTGCATCCTCCCTGCACGCATCCTCCTTGCATGCATCTTCCTTGCATCCTCCTTGCGCACATCCTCCTTGCATGCATCCTCCTTGCACACATCCTCCTTGCACGCATCCTCCTTGCATGCATCATCCTTGCATCCTCCTTGCGCACATCCTCCTTGCATGCATCCTCCTTGCACACATCCTCCTTGCACGCATCCTCCTTGCATGCATCATCCTTGCTCACATCCTCCTTGCACACATCCTCCTTGCACATATCCTCCTTGCACACATCCTCCTTGCATGACTCTTCCTTGCATTCTCCTTGCACGCATCCTCCTTGCACGCATCCTCCTTGCATGCATCCTCCTTGCATGACTCTTCCTTGCATCCTCCTTGCATACATCCTCCTTGCATGTCTCTTCCTTGCATCCTCCTTGCGCACATCCTCCTTGCACATATCCTCCTTGCACGCATCCTCCTTGCACGCATCCTCCTTGCACATATCCTCCTTGCACGCATCCTCCTTGCACGCACCTTCCTTGCATCCTCCCTGCACGCATCCTCCTTGCATGCATCTTCCTTGCATCCTCCTTGAGCGCATCCTCCCTTGTGTGCATCCCCTTATGTGCGTTCTCCTTTAAGTTTGTCCTCCCTTGCACGCATCCTCCTTGCATGACTCTTCCTTGCATCATCCTTGCTCACATCCTCCTTGCATACATCCTCCTTGCATGCATCCTCCTTGCATGACACTTCCTTGCATCCTCCTTGCACGTATCTTCCTTGCACACATCCTCCTTGCACATATCCTCCTTGCACGCATCCTCCTTGCATGCACCTTCCTTGCATCCTCCTTGAGCGCATCCTCCCTTGTGTGCATCCCCTTATGTGCGTTCTCCTTTAAGTTTGTCCTCCCTTGCACGCATCCTCCTTGCACACATC